TGGTTAAATTCATGAGTTCTCCGGATTCTTATCGACAAAAATTTAATACCTTTACATCTTTATCCACTTCAGGAGAAAGTTTACGCAATCCTACTTTATCTTTAGGTCTTCCTCTGTAATTAACTAACCCTGCAAATTGTTTTGGCTAGAACCACGAGGTCACAGTTGCGAGAAATACCCTACAGCGATTAGGGAATTCTCATTATCACTTGTATTTTGCCCCAGAAACAACGTTTGTAGCCGCTTGTATTGCATTGCAACCCTGGTGTCTAGCATCCGGTAGCAGGGAGTTACAGTAGATACTATCATTCGCTTCTCTGCAGACAAGACGAGCGTGTGGGTGGTCGGCGTTGAGGGCTTTTGCAGTGTTCCTGCAAACACGACGGCAAGCTCAAGGGGAGATCTCATGACATGAACAGTGAGCAGCGTGCCTAACCAGTTTGAGGTAAATCTGCGTGATCGAATTTCACTCATGCCCGTCAGTCAATAATTCACACCCATTCCCATTATTGTCACCTACTGTGAAGCCATTCTGCCCGATTTCACATTCTTGCGCAAGTTGACCACACACGACACTCGTCTGATCTCCATCGCCGCCCTTGTTGTTTTCCGTCTATGGGTGCAGCGTGTTAGCTTTTCATTGAAAAATTGGTGACCCCAGCATCTGCACCCTTCCTTCACAACCTCCACATTCTTTCATCTAACTGAAAAATAGGTCGGCCCCAGTCACTGTAAAGACTAAGTCGGTAACTACTGAAGAATTCATTAGCGACAGAACTGCAAGTAACTGAGTTAGCCCACTTGCAATCGGGTATCCACCTATCCAGCAACGCCCACAGTCGCGTTTATGAGTATCGGCTGAAACCAGCAAATACATTGTAATGCAGCCAGTCAGTGTAAGCTCTTGTGTTTTGGTTCTAACTCAGCCTTAAGCATTGTGGTCGAAAAGCGAGAATATCCTAAAGTTGAGATGGCCACTGTCGGTGGACATTTCGGCCCCTGTCAATTTACTTCGGAGGCGTCAACCACACGCGTAATTGGTTTAGGTGTTGGCACTTCGCTTTGCCACCAATGCCTTCTGAAAAACTTCACCGTCTTTAATTTGTTGAAACATGAAATTGCACAAAGTACCAGATGAACAATGGGGGTTCGTATGACCGGAAAAAAACGAACTATGAGGACGAATTTCGCGTGTTGCCAGGATTTTCCTAATTTTCCTCCAAGTGTCACTAAAAGTGTAAAGTCACGGACATTAATGTGCCAAAACAGATTGCTTAAAACCAAATATGCTCCTCTCCGTTATGGAACACGAGGATGTCATTCTGTGATAACTGAGATCTCTTCCCTTTGGGTGAGAATCTGTAAAGTCACAAGTTTATGAATGCTATTTGTAGAAAGCAGAGTAATGAACGAAACGTGAGGGAATGGATCGGACCACGGTTAGTGGAGTAGCAGGTTCAGACGCATGCTCTGCAAAATAATTAATGAGTTGGTGATTCCATCACGGCCTCGGTGTGCCTAATCAGTGCAACAGCATGTGGTCTTGAACCACGCCGGGGGCGCTAATTTAAACCTAGTCCGATTCCGCTACCCTGACATCTGCAAAGATGGCGAAGACCGGAGAGGGCGAGGCACAACCGTTTACTAGACAGCTCAACCATGTTGCGTTGCACCCGTGTGAGTGCGTGACCGATACGCTCTGGTGAATTAGTTAAAAGTACAAAATCCTGAGTGTCCAGATTGATAGCGCGGATATGAGTGGTCCGAACACAGGAGCGAGTGACGGGCAGGTGTGTGAGGCCGCGAAGGTCAGGCTTTTGGATGAAAATCAGCGCGGTTCACCGCATGATCATTTCACCTCGTGTTTGCTTTCATTAGATGGGCTTGAGTCCTATTACCTGACTACTCAGATTCACATTTAACATGGGCAACGTAAGTAGGGCCACAGGCATGTGATGTTGCCGGACATAAAAATTCAACGTGTGATCCATTGTACTATCTTAATCCACAGTGTAGTTTCTCTTTGGTCCTAGCCAAACCAATCGGTAATTTTGAAAAATACGAAACCTGGATGTGCGGTCAAATTTAAGGCACTAAGGTGCCAAGTCTGGACAGACAACATCGAACCCCATCAAACACTCGGACAATCATGTGAATTGGCATTTACGTGCCCTGTGATGCCTTGCGCATAACCAGTCCTTAAGCCTTAACATATACCAGGCGAGTAGCCTGTTTCTACAGAACTTTAGTCAGTCTTTTCAGTCAAGTCAATTCAAGGCACGATCACTTGCTTAAGATATCAAAAAAACGAGCATGCAGGAGACTGGCATTTCCTAGTGTGAGTGTCAGGCTCTTTAAAACATAACATGTTAGTTTTAGCATTGTCATATTCGCTCTATAAAGTAAAACACAAGCTACCTGCAAGACGTCGGATCAATTTGGTGAAAATAAGAAAACCTGGAAGCATTAAATAATTTTCCTTCAAAAATTTGTCTTGTAATCCATTCGAATCGTTGTAAAAGTTAACTTTTGATATTTTGATTAAGGAAAGAGTCGTTTAATCGTCTTTTTTAAAACTGCCCCATTTAAGTGACATCTTAACCCGGTTTTTGCGACTCAAGCTTGTTCGTGAGAATACGATAAAATTTGGCTAACTACAGGTGAAGAAATGATTAGGTTGGCAAATTTCACTCGCATCACATATGACGGTGAAATTCTAAACAAATCGACGAACACTTAAGCTTGATTTGCTGAAGATGGATTGGCAGATGAAAAAAGCTTTGATATTAAGGTGGTTGCAAAAATGGAAGCCTATTACGGTTCTGAATGCCTGAGCTTGTGGACATAATCTGTGTGCCACGAACCCTCAGAAGGAGAAAAAGCGAAATTTGAGGGCGTGGATTTATTCTACAAAGGTTTTTTCCTGCACTGCCATTTGCATTTTCTTTTGCCAGGTTGAATTTGAATGGCGAAACCGTCGATTTTGAGCCCATCGTTCACTCTCGTCTAGAGCACTTGCCCTTAAAGGAGGGTCAGCAGCTGCGTCTGAGCTGCGGTCCCGCACACACGCCCCACAAAACCTGCCAATGTCGAAACGGAGGAGTGTGTGAAGACGGCGAATGCAACTGCTTGGCTACGGCCTACACTGGCAAACTCTGTCAAACTCGTGAGTTTGCTTCGGTTAACTGTGGCAGCAGTGACTGGGGAACCGGCACACCATTGAGCTTTTGATCTACCTTGCAAATGGAAAAATAGCGGCAATTTAAACCTTCATTCGGTTCAATCGAACTAATCCGGACCATGATATGCAGATGACTCGTCGATGTTATAGGAAATTGTCTAGTTAGTGAAACAGCACTTCCAGTAATTGGCAGAGAAGTAAGATGAGGTATATGGAGCACCGCTTCTTCGTTTGCTCATAACACAGCAGAGAGCTAACTTCATGGGGTTAATGTTGTGTATTCTACTAACCAAGATTTCGTTTTTATGTTTCATAGTGTGACACCGTATGTCGTGACAAAATGGGACGATGGGACATGCAGAAATATTTCTGTATTTTGTTGCCACTTTTATGGTGGTTCAAAGACCATCTATGAAGTAAAGTTTTCACCTAAAATGAAGCCATCACTCTCTTCTTTAACCAAAGCCTGAGAGAGGTCAATGGAATCAATTACACCTTTTAACCTGTAAACTCACTATTCCTTCAATCAATTTAGCCGCGAAAACGCTCACTTTCGAGAAACACCAGCAACTTCGAATGCGATTTCCCTTGCCGCACCAACTCGAGGCGACGGAGCTGCAATTTTCCTTCAGGACCCTGACCCCCAACTCAACTCTTCTTTCATCCTACTCACTGGGCTCCTTCACCAATGAGACGCACCTATTTGGTCCCATCCAACCTGACGGGATGCGCATCAGCTTGGTGGATGGGTGCCTCAGTATCTTGGTGATATTGGAAAATCGGCCAAGTGTAAGCTTTCACATTTATTTCCAATAAATCGATTGGCTATATTTTCTACCTCATTGCTGCTGTCCCTGCCAAGATGCCGACTCTAAATAATAAAAACACAAAAAATGGTAAGCGACAAGGAAATTGAATGCAAGAAGTAGGTTAGGCGGCACTGTGTACGATGTGTTGATTTCGACTCGGTCTGCAGCGTGATCAGGACTTGTACGATAAGAATTTTGAAGTAATGCAAGTTGTAGCGTTTAATGTAGCGCATGACCAGGCCAAATAATGAAGCCTTAAAAATTTGGTTCTTTTACTACAAGCGTTTTCAAACCGTACATAACTTAACACTGAATTCGTACGTAACATCAGACCCTGCGGATTAATGTTAATTTAACCATTCGTGAAACACATCTGATTTCCATACATTATGGGGATCCTGTGTGCATATCTAGTTGTGGTGTGAGATGAGTTAATAATATCGTTTTAGGGGTCCAAAAGTGTTGTCATAATTTCAGTAGTAGAAAAGTTTGTGAATCCGATGCTAAAAAGTAGATGGGATAACTGATGATGCATTCATTCACCCTGTGGCAAACTTACAATGTACTTTTGTCGCAACCATCCTCTTTATGCCCCTTTGTTTCATTGGAAATTTCCCATCATGGAAGCACAAAAATGGCAGTACCTCGTCAGATTTTGGTACGGTCAAGCAGGCAGACATTTTGATCATGAACAAACGCTACCGCTAATAGTGTTTGGCAACTGTTAGGTGCCCAACATGCACTTCCACTTCTATAACTAGAATTAGCTTGATGGGATTGTTTGTTTATGGCAGCATGACTGTTACTCGTGAGTTCCAGTCCCCAAACCATTAGTAAACAACCAAATGCCTTCTCTAGGCAGAATTTGGCAAACCTCTGTGCCTAATGTTCACAGATGACAGGAACCTGCATTCTTGACTGTGCTAATGCTTCTTTTATTAACTTGGTTGAGCTACTCGTCATCTGCAGTTCTACTCCCCTTTCGGTCGGGCCGTGTCAATGTAGATTGTCGGCCCTGGTGTGGTTTCTAGAACCTCACCGGGGCCCACTACAAACTTACAGTTATCCCGAACAAGTTTGCTGAACTTCCGTGCGGGGCTAAGATGTCAAGTAGAAAATGAAAATATGCATATTCGTTTTAAAAAGAAGTGGTTCATGTAACTCCTATAGACACAATTTTGGATGTTTATTTGAAGCATTTTTCTGTCACTGAGCAATTAACTTGAGGTCCACTCAATTTCGAAGTCAAAACTTTACTCTTAAAGATAATTTACGCTGTGGGTGATCGCCTGACAACATCGCCTGGTATGTGCCAATCCACAGATTACCGCTAAATGTTGAAAAGCAGGCTGACCGTTGCCATTTTTGGCAACCTGAATGCACTTTGAAAACAAATGCACGGGTTTGGCACATTTTGATGGACCGGAACAAAGTGGATCGTTTTTCCACAACCACTTCTACTCTTTCTTGCCAAAAAAACCAACTTGTCATAACTGGAACTAAGAAATGGCTTGTTTATGCTGACATATAAGAAGGAACATAACAATATAAGCAAAATCTCTGGCAAATTCTGAAGTTCATCCGAAAAAAAATTTTTTATGCTTCCAGGGGGATTGTAGAGGATTTATTTCCTCTAAGGCCAAGTGCTGTCAGCAGTTGACACAAGTCAGCATCGAAATCAAAGCATTATATCCAATTACTAAGGCATGTTGATAAACATGCCAACGCCAGACCGCATTTAGCTCAAATGACACGACAAAACACTTAGAGGTTAAACAAAAGAACTTCACCAGCTTTCGCTGCATTTCCATGATTTCACTCCTGCAAAGTTTTGTAAAATGTTAGCAGAATTGCCAAGGTATGCATGAATGATATGGCATAGAGACGTTTATTCGTAATTTGATTTCAAGTCGGGCGCGAACAAGGGTAGATCAGTCTAAACAAAAGTCAGTGAGCAAGGTGGAGTGTCAAGGGTCATAATCTCTTCTTTGCGATTATTCGATGAAGAAAGCGACGTATGTACCTTCACCGTTTCCAGGTTAGTTTGGACTCCACCGAACGGTCACTTTCGGAGCAAATGCCCAGACTAGAGCCACACGGCTTTTCTTGCATGGCGATTCAAACTGTGGTGCCTTGGTTTTAGACTCTAAGCATTCCCAATCGGGTTAACGACGGCGACTGGCATGTGCTCCGAGTACTGCGGACGGCGTCGCTGCTGCGAGTCCAAGTAGACGGAGCAGTCTATGAAAAGAGTAAGTCACCGCAGACTACGTGTTTATTCCATGTCATGATGCACCTGCACTCATTGTAACAGTAATAAGCACTATCCGTTTAGTCACGTGCTTTCTGTCTGCACCACATGCACCGAGTTCTGTCCTTACACAGATAAAACTATGCTCTCACTCTGGCAACTAACAACTCTCTCTGAGCGGAATTCAGAACGATGTAAACCAGCTTCGAAGTTGCCCTGAATCTTCTGTTTTTAATTCTTGTTGTTATAATTTCAGCAGCCAAGTATTTTCCTAACATTTATTATTAACTTTTAACAGCTTTAATCTCTATTTTACCTAATTGTGGTTCATTTGTAACAATGACTTGATGCAAGAACGTGCGTCTCTGTCATGATTAAGCGTTCGTTAAGCCCAAGCCTATTGTTTAGAGGAGAGTCACATCTAATTATTTACGAGCTATTGTTTATTATTATTTCTCACTGAGTAGCTGGCGAGTAATTCTGAACCCATTTCTGGTTTTCCTGGAACAAACAGTTTTTGCTGAACCGGCGGGACTCGGCATGAATTGATTCTGGACCTATTGACACGTTAGTGTGCCACTTCTGTGTTGGAGGGGATCTTTCGACCGAAAGTCCTTTGACGTCTGGAAAATGCCAACACTTATAAATTTGTCAGTTGACAATAGTCAGAGAATTTCTTCCGCCCTCATCGATCTAAACCACGGCATAAAGTGAATCATGTGTCACTTAGTTCACAAGACAGTTTATCACAAGCATCCGCCTTTAAAAACGGTGAGATTAAGGTTGATGTACGTTTCTTCTGCAAGTGCTATTACTTCAAATGTAGAATTACGCTGGCCACACTTCGGCTTATGAAAGCCTTCAACGTGCCTCACACTGCGCTGGCAAAAACAATGAAATGAAACTTCAGTGTGCCAGTCTTTTTCACCCCGCACTGTTTTGTAGTCACATAAATAAAAACACGGTGTAGAAATTATGCCAGCAAAGGCAGCTGCTGCATGCCTTCTGTAAAAAAATTCCACTCACACATCTCCCCCATTCTAATTCTGAATCTCCCCTCTGACTTGAAGTGTTTTGCGCCAGATCAAACCTCTCAGATCTGCCAAAGTTGATACTTAGGGAGAAAGTAGACTTCTCTTACGTGAACTTCAAATCAAAAAAAAGTAAATATGTGTTCTAAGGGTTATTCACTGCATTCCAGTTCATTTTAGTGGTGTTTGCAAACACGGTGTTTGATTAGAGTAGTTTTTTTTAATCCACAAGAAAATTATTGTATCAGATTTTAAACGTTGATTTTTTTTTCTTCCCCCCTGTCAAAGCGATGGTCATTCGTTAACTAACCAACATTAATTTTTACCACTGGTCTCCAAAAAAGATCCTCCTTTTTGTCTGTGATTTATACTCTTCAGTGGTCCTCTTAGCGACGATTTAAATTGCTGCATTTGTGCCGAAGCTCAAAGAACTTAAACTTCGGGCAGCAATAAACGCTGGAACAAGTGCCATTAATTTCGGCCTTTCGATTCCTCGAAAGGGCTTTAGATCATGCTCTGCAGAGTCAGTTTATTTCAAACCAAAATTTCAGACGAAAACGGTGTTGAAGTAATTGGGAACAGGCACATGTAATTACCGCGGTCCGATCAGGTCTGAAAATGCGCTGCGCATTTTTACCACGCAACAGTCTTGAAGTTCTAATTTTTACCGCGATTGACGCTTCGTAGCCAATAGCGCAAGGACTTTGTTTTTGGTCTTTATTACTTCTTTATTTTCAATCCCTTCCTATTTCGTGTTTTGGTTACTTACGTCGAATATATTTTGTACTCCATATTTAAAGACGCCTTATTCTCCCGCAAGTTTAGTGGTGGTATTGACGTTAGCAACACTACTTTATGATAACTTAATCGGATTAGAATGCGTATTTTTTTTGTCGAAAAACATTCATACAATAAGTTATTGTAACCACATGAGGTTTTTTTACTTAAGCCGATTTGTGCAAAAGTGAAATTGACCTTTGTTACATTTTGCCCGTAGGCAAGACCACGCACTCACAAAACCGATGGCCCAGATGCCATCACATTAGACGCCAGACCCACCTTCTCACGCTGATCTAATGCGAGAACTTTTAATGTCACAGCCAAGGGTAGAGTAATCTGTCTGAACGCCTGGATGATCTGCCCTTGACCAAATGGATCAAAGCGAATTAGCGCGCATGTGGCTGTTAGTAGGGTGTCGCAAGTGACCCACCCACTAAAGCTTTAATAATAGTGGTTTCATTCAGTGGCAATTGAACTTCAAGGGCTTCGTGTTAATTGAGATAGAACATAATTTGTTTGTTCTTTGGTCGTAAAATTCTATAATGAATTTCTAAGTGTTTGTTTGCTTTTTTTTTAAGAAATTGTCATGTCAAGGCTATCACGGAACAATCTAGTTGCCTGCATGTTCACTCAATGTACCTCCAGTTGAATAAATCCCCCTTTGCTTTATAACTTAAATGACGACTTGCATATGGATATTTAGATTAAAAGCAAAATGGACAGTATTATTTTATTTTTGCATTTATTCTAAAGAAAATCTTTAATTAAGGGCCCAAGAGGGCCTTCGATAAATAAATGGTTAAAAAAGCACGTTTTGGGCTTCTGGAATAGTCAAAAATGTGAACAATTCAAGCTGTAAGTGAACTTTTAAAAAACGGTTTATGTCAAATATTATTGTTTCATCACTGCCTACTGATCCTGAATGCAAGGTATTAGGCAACTTGCAGATACGTAGTAGTTATTTTTATGCTTATCAAACCCGGCAATAAACTGCCAATAGTCGACTCCACTTGTGTCAGTTTGGTCTGAGTACTACAATAGGCACTACATCCAATTATATTCTTCGAGTCGTATATTTCAGAGACAAATCCTGTGCGTACGTAACCTTACAGTCAATTTTGAAATACTTTAAGCATTCGGTTCCACTAATAATATTTAATTTTAAAAATCCAATTGGTCCTAAATGAGGCTGTTTTATTGTGTTCGTAAAAATCGAAGGAAGTTAGTTTGGTATATGTTCTAAATTGACAAATGCCACAATGATTCTAGTGCTGCTCCTCATTATTCAATTCCAAATAAGTTTTAAGTAATCAGCAATACGCGTGTCATTAAAGTTCTTTTAAATTCACAAGTAGTCTTTTTTTTTCAATTTTTTTGAACATTTCTTCTTGTCTTATCACTTCATTTGTTTTAAATTTTGCAAGCGCTAATGAGTAACACAAATTTGAAAACTGATATTTCTTGACTTCATGCACATTATTATCCTCTTCGCAGATTCATCTCATTGTACTAAAACCCTCTTGGTAAAACAGCTCAGACATTTCTAAATGTGTTTTGTGAAGCAGCTTTATTTCCAATTCCGTGAAAGCGTTTTCGAATTTTGAAATTCCTAATCGCTTCTCTCTTTCAGTAGCGCGCCTGAACGGCCTACATTAAGTGATTGCATGAAATTAAAATACTCGAAAAGTAACTCTCATCCACCAGGTAGTTTTACTGCACATTCGTGATCCCTGCTCGCCAAAATCTTTCTTTCGCTCAAAATACGCTTACTCGCATTCAAATCGTTCTAAACCAGGCTCTTGGTCGCTAGCGTAAGTGCCAAATTTGCTCCTTGTGTGGGCGGGTGTGTCTATTAATAGTACCGACGATTGCAGGCACCCTTCCCACGATGCAAATTATTCTGCGTGCCCGCATTTGACTCCCGAAGTTTTTAAAAAGAATCACAATGTAAATTTGGAGGAAACGGTTTTGCGTGGACTCTCTTCAGGCCCTTGGCAATGGTTTTTTTCGGCGCTCAGGCTGAGTTTTTTTTTAAAATAATTGGAAGCAACTACTTGCGTGTTTCGATTTTGTCCAAGACACCTCATTAACCTGAACAAACGGCCTTCGAGGTGTGTGATCAAAAAGTGTCATTAACCCCTTCAATCTGTGTTGCACTATTACACGAGTTAAAATGAAATGCAATCTGCCACCTAGTATATGGGCACCCAGGACACGAATCCCACAAAATTAGTTAACAAAGCTCTCGTGAATGCTGTATTGAGTGTTAAATACTCGTGTAATTAACTGTTTTTACCTCAACTTTCAATGTTTATAAAACCTGGCTTGGTCTTGCACAAAATTCCCGCTTCCCAACCTAAAGCTCTGAGCCTGCTTGACTCACAATGACAACGTGGAAGCCAAATCAGCAATTAGAATGTAACTACCCTAGATAAATTCTAAGTAATAATGAATGGTCTTCATTTGGAAGTTGCTGCAGGGATCTTCCCAATCATGATTTCCAACGCACAGACTTGTGTAGATGAAAGTACTGTATCTCTGTAATCATGAAATCACTGGAGTGTTTTAGTAAAAGCTGCAGGATGTTCAACCGTATTTTTGAAAGAACTCATGGAGAGCTTCCTCTTTGGTGCTTACTCGCTTAATTACTTCCATCATCTGGTGGAAAGTCTACTCAGTACATGAAGACTATTTAATGAGTCCCAAGGGTACGGTAAGGGGTAGGTTAGTCGATACGTGACTACTATACCACCGGGCTATTCGATTTTGCCAACATTTATCGTACTAAATGGGATCAAACTAGAGGATGTCTTTGCACTTAGAGACCTCTTAAATCGGCTTTGACACCCGCAGCCAGAATTTCGAGAAAAGGATTGAGCATCATTTAAAAAAAATATTTTCCGTTATAGTTGATTCAATAAAAGGTCCCTCCTATGCCTTGTGCAGTAAAGACACATCAACCGCGTTTTTCTAGATCTCGAATTTATCGTCTGAAGCTCAAGGAGCAAGGATTACGCATCTTCAAGCGTAAGATAAATTAATGAAGTATTAAGCGTCATTATCCCAGCAGTATATTTTCGGGTGCTCAAAAAAGATCAGTAGCGATCAGCTGAAAATGCCATGAGACTGTGTGGCAGTTCAACTAACTTACAAACAACACTTGTATCTGAAACTAAGTGTCAGCTGCATCATGTCACTACGCACCTTGTAACTAAGTGCTGTCTACGCAAGATAGCCAGCTCTTTGGCGCCAAGGATAAAACAATGAAAGCTCAATGCCCGCTTACACAATGACACTTCCAAGAAGAAAATGCAAGTGGCAGACCGCTGTTCCGGAGTTCTGTTGATAACCTGCAGTGGGGGAAAGCGCGAGCTCCTTTATTTTTGCCTTGATAGGACTTCCCGGTCAGCAGTCAGGGTGGCCACAGCAGCCCGAGGAAGCTGTGATTGTTTGTCTCGGTGGCAGTGACGTTGAGCAGCGCCGTGATGGTAAATTGCCTTTTTTGCCCTCTTTTTAACCCTTCCGCATGCACTAATGCACAGTTTTTTTTGTCGTAACCTTTGTTGTCGTGCATGTTGTACAAACTTGCAGCGATAACCCCAGACGAAAAGGTGACAGTTTATTCTTTTAAATCTGTAAATTACCCGAGACAATAAGAGGTGTTTTTCGTACCTCTCAGTCTAGATGTTCAACGCACATGCATATAGATATTATCCAACTCTTGACTTACGGATAAATAACAGTGGCTCTGTAGTAATTAGTTTCAACTGCCTTGCAATCCTGCTAGTTAACAACTTAAGAAAAGAGGCAAAACAAATGGCAGCGGATACCACAGCTCATTATCGTCAGACCGTCCAAGTGTCTATCAGATTGTTGTGGGCCCCAGCATGTGGTCTTGAACCACGCCAGGCCCACTGAATTAACTATGGTTCGATTACGCTTCCCTGATACCCGCGACAGAGAAAAAGACCGGAGAGGCCGTGAACACAACCGTTTACTTCATAGCTCGACCACGTTGGTGTCGTGGTGTCGTGGGTGGCGTGTGTACTTCTAACTTTGATGTGTGTCATAGATGAGCTAGCATCGAGACCTAGGTGTGAGGATAATCCAGGATAAATATTCGTGCTAATGAGGAGGGCGGAGTTGACGATCCGCGCGGCTGGCGACATGCTACAAAAGGGCGAACTCTGCGTCGGAGGCTGAAGTGACATCAGATCACCTCGTAAACAAACGTTCTCTACAACCCTCAATGTTGAAATCCCGGGCCATCTGCCTTTTTAAGAATGTGACTGTCTCTGAAGCCACTAAACTCTGTTCGGGAAACAATGTACCTAGTTTAGGAGGTCAAAGCTGGTTTCTTAAACTCTCTGTCCAAACTAAGTGGAGTGTATTGAGAACTGATGCCTACTTTGGGAAAAACGCTAATTGCCCGCATGTAAATTTTGGCTATCTAGGTAGAGGTTAAGTCTATTATCAGTGCATAACCAGGGTTTTTTTTAATCTATGAAAATTTATTTCTCATGCAGACTCAATAACTTTGGGTTAACCTGTTACATGGGCTTAAACTAAGTGACAGCAATAGCGGAGGTGTGTGTTACAATTATAACGATGAGTACCGCAAAGCATTACACTTAGAGCCCTGAGAAGTATAGAAATTATTGACTCCTGAATTCTCGCAAGGTCCCAAGCAATGGTGTGGAGGATACGAAGGTCCATGTCTAGTAGCGCAAGTCTTCCGATCAGAGCCAATTCCAACCCTCATGTGGGAGTACGTTAGTATATCTAACCACATCCAGGTACACAGATCGCAATCACCAGAAGGTCCAGAAGGTTTTCAAATGGTTTTGTCCAAACCAGGGGGTGTTTGGAGTCTTACCGATGCACAGATGCATGGCCCGGTAACGGTCTTCCCCGCATTAACGCCTTAGGTGAAATGTGTAATCGTAAGCACCATCTCATACTAGGACAAGACTGGACCTCGTGCAGAGAGCTTTTACTGTCTCAGCCAAAGTCCAAGTCATACAGCAAAATGAACAGCTTTTTTGTGCCTTGTGCTACCTCTACCTGGTAAACGAGCACCTGGACGACCTCAAACTGCGACGTGAAGAGTTGTGATAATTACTAAGGTGTGACACTTACGAGGAAATGGTCTAAAATCAGAGGTGTGAAGAGGAGCTGCAAATCTCAAATTGAGGAACCTTGAAGGTCTTAACCGACTGCTGCAATATACTCCTGATTCCGGCAAATAATGCTGTAATAGGTGGCTTTTAAAAAAGATTGTCTATTCGAGCTTTGATAAACTGATGGAGAGAAACTCGCAGTTTCGCGATCACTGCATAACAGTTCAAGTACTTGACCACTAAGTCAAAAATGTCCTCTCGTTTACTGCTTGGCAGACATTTGTTAACGGTTTCTAGGTGATTTCTGTGAACGTTCCAAGTCCCACGAATTTCTGTTGCAACGTAGGGCAGTGTTGTATTAATAGAGGGTTCTAACCAACCATCCCAAGAATAAATCTTAGCAAATATGTGGGGCAGTTCTAAGTGTCCTTGGAGACCCCTTGGCAAACAGTTTTTGGGTCAAAATCCGAAACAGAAAGTAGGCGGAATCGCTAAATACAAATTAACAATCAAGCAGTGTTAAATTATATTTTGTTAATTTTCGCGATGTGCGCCATCCATCGCAGCGATGTTAGGGGTCCCTTTGAAAGGGACTTCAAAGCCTGTTTGTTCAACTGTTCGTCGCTTGAGTCTAGAGCATTACGAGGGCTTTATCTCCGAATCTCACTTTCACCTCAATTGAACTTGTTTTGTTCATTGAAATGGCGTCTAGACATGCAACTTGGTTTCTTTCATGTTGCCATTAATATTTCATAAGTCATTTCGTGTAGTCATTATCTCTGTTCATACCAACACACCATAATAATCGTGCCCATATTTGAGGCATTTAAAACTGGAAAATGCGGTGACAAATAAAACTGGCGCTGAACCTGGGTGCTACCCGCCTTTGAAGGCACGTCATAGAGAGATGAGGGATTATGCCCATCGCAGAAGCTGTCAGATCCACTGACAAGCATGATTTGCTTTGTATCACACCCTGAGGCGAGATTTAAACGATGCTACCCAACGCTTACTATTGTCTTGTTAATATAACAACTTGCTTAACATTTCGGTCAAAACATTGGTTTGGTTACACTGGGTTGCCTTTCAATGGTACCAAACACTCGACACGCCATGCCTTGGTGGGTTTCCTCATTGTCCTGTAGTCGGGATAAGCCTTATTTTGCTCACCGAAAACTCCTGTATCAAAGTACCGATTCAGAAAATGACTGCACCTTTGTGTGACAAAATGAGGCGCTTTTGTCGAAGGGAACCATGATAACACCTGTATCTATCGCTGCGTCATTGTGGCTGCCTTTCAAAATTCTAGACTAAAGATGGCATTAAAGCATGTATTTATGTGTGTTCACCAAATAAGACATGTAAGCAGTGTGTACGGTTAGTACACAGAGTTCAATTCTTTTGTGGTTATCGGAGTTGACGTTCAATGAATATTTATGGTCTCTCCACTTTGCAGTTCTTGATGCTGAAGACTTCATTGTGCGGATCCATGAAATCAGAGTTGGCTACAAATCTCCCCCTTCTTTTTCTCCATTCACCGGTCAAATTCGTCACTTCATGTTCAACGGAATCGACCCTCTACTGCAACCAGACTACCTCATCGAAACTCCCCAGCTGAAATTTATGGGAAGGGAGGCCACCTTTGGCGTTGGACCGGCAATCACCCTAAAGACACCCGACTGCTTTCTGAGGCTGCCTAGTTTGCACCTTTATGGATCCTTTCAATTGACATTCTCTCTGAAGACGTACCAACAAGACGGAGTGGTGCTCTTCAATTCGGGATCGGGCGACTTTCTTGCCGTGGAGCTGGTCCGATCTCAGTTGACTATTTCCTTTGACATGGGCCACGGAGCAGCCTTGCAGCATCAACGAATCGGCAAGGGGTTGCTGAGTGACGGAAATTGGCATCAAGTTATCATTTCCAGGCGAGTCGTTCCTTCCTTTAATACGGTCAAGCTGTGTGCATGTCAATATAGTCAAACACCTATGAAGCTAAACCCGTTAGACTTCATGGGCTCTTGTCTTGATGGCAGAAATGAAGTCTTTCGATTCGGTAACTCCTGTTACTTCGCAGATGCTGAGTGGTCGTCTTCTTTTGAATAGTGTGGGTGTAGAATTTCCCCAGAACTTATGAAGACGGTGGTAGATGAGATGACAGTGACATTTTGCCATGATTAAAGTCCAGGTACCTTCCAGCTTTCGCTGGCAAGATTAATGCGAAATAGCTGCGATTGCTTTTGGATGAAAATTCACAAACTTACTGATTCAACTTAAAGAATCGACTTGGAATCGTAGGCTGCATGTCAAGGTTAGGCTGCTTTAGATCAGACATGTGTGGCGACCAGCGAGCCAGCACGGCTAGCATTCGTGAGCGAACGCGGTTTGCTAGCATGAGCGAACACATTTAATCGATTTTTTTTCGTGAATGCACTGTTGCGTGTATGCTTGCCCGACTGTGTCAATGACTCACCCTCTTTGTTATTGGTTTGTGTTACCAGTCACCTGTAACGTACGCGCATCGATACGCACACAGAAGTTGGTTAACTCACTTTTACGCTACCCAACTTGGCTGACGTGACGCGAATAAGCGGTCGTGTCGCCTTTCGACACGGCCTTCCCTTTTCTCGGATTGTGACCGGCGGTTATCCATAGGGTTTTGTGGTAGTGCTAATTTAGGCCCCTACGAATGCTTCTTAAATAAGCTGCAACCTTACCCCAGTTGACGTATTAAACAATTTAGAGACCTCGTATGCTGCGCGTTTTTGAAATGAATTGAGGTATGCATGGTAGTTGTTCCTCTTTTCTGAAAAGTCCTAGTGGTCAACAGTAAAAGCCTTAAATATATGTTGCTTTACACGTTATTTCATGGAACTCGAAGTCAGCAACTTGTGCAGTTGAGCGAAACAGGTAACAGGGGCATCTCTTACATATTTACGTTTTCCTAAATGAGTCTTGTGATGATGGTGAATTTGGAGTACATAAAAGTATAAACTAACAGATAACAACCTCGTGCAACTTCCTAAATCAAATGAGTGTATCAATTTCGGCAAATCACTGCGCGATTTTCGTGGGACGTACATCTAATCAGCCCCTGTACTACTTACAGGACAGGGAATATCTCTTGAAGATATGACACTCCATTTTCGGCAATTTGGTGTTCTTTATTAAATTACTCCTTTTACCTGTAATACATCAAGTGCCGTCTAATTTATCTCTAGGTCTGGGCAAATGGACCAATTCTTGCGCATTCGAATTAGGTCCGAATTCGAAGAGGAAGAAGACCACAACCTTACAATCCCAGCTGTAACAACAGGTCGAAATTTCAATTTCAATGAACCCCTTTACCTCGGTGGCCTCCCTGCCGATTTACTCTATCGATTTTCAGAAAAAATTATTTCCAAACATGGTATTCAGGCAAGTGTCAGCTCTGTTGAAATCAGTATTCAAGTGCATTGGTTGCATGTTTGGGTCCTAATGGATGCCATCAAGCTGGTGTCTCGTGAGCTTTGTGGGCATGATGGATAGCTTTTATTGCCTGGCATTGGGTATTTTCGCGGGTTGAGGTCGACAGACTTGGCGGTTGACTTTTAAGTTGAATTGAACTCAGAATATCGAGATTTTTTTACCTAGGCCCGTGGTGTGGGCATTGCATCCGTGTGGTGAATATAGACGCTTCACTAGGTGGTTCTACACACACGCAATTCTGGAAATTGGCAGTCGCTCAGTAGTAGAGTTGTGGTGGCTTACGGGAACAGCCCGGTTGTATTTAAAACCAATTTGTGTGACCAGGGAAATAAGTGCGTTGTCTTCAATCGTATTCCCAAGTTTGGGTATTCTTCGACTTCCATTTTCGAATTGAGCTTGTTTTGGGCCCCGGCATGTCGCCTCAAACCACGCCTGCTCCACTGACCTTAATCTAGGCCGATAACGAAGATGAAGGTGACGAGAGAGGGCGAGACACAACCGTTTACATGATAGCTTGACCTAATTGTGTTAGTGGCGTCGCTAAGCATAAAAATTGTGTATGAGCAAATAGGGTCGTCGATCAAAACAATCTGGGTGAGCCTGTAACAGTGCAAGTGGCTGATTGGTCAGACGAATGAGACGAGTAGCGTGGGGGAATACTCTCAGAATGGCGAAGAATGGTTTACTGGACACGAATTAGTACGACTCACTACAGGCCTATTCAGGTTGTAGCCGCAAAATTAGTCGGCAGATTTGTCTTTTACTGCTTGCAAACATTCTTCTTCCCATCTTACAGGGCTGCATTGGTGGCCTCGGCGTTAACAACCAAACACAAATGGACGTGTTTGGTCTGGCGGAGGCCACGATGCAGACGAACAAGACCAGTCCCGTCTGCAAGTGGCAGGTCATCAAGGGGTGTCTGGAGAGGCCAGGGGGGGCACCCACATGTGCCGCCTACGCCCAACACCGGCGTCTCCCGTACTGCCTCAACGGCGGCGTCTGCCTCCACGTGTGGACCTCACTCAGGTGCTCCTGTGAAATGACCACGTTCACTGGCAACCGGTGTCACCTTCGTGAGTTGCCGGCATGCAGATGAAATTAGGTCTTCAGGCTTTAATAAGGGCTGTTAACAGATAATGCAACAACGATTCAAGTCTTCCTAATTGTTTTACTTTTATTAGTAATTTAATTTTCGTTCTAAAAATAACGATTTGATTTAATTTGTGACTTTAAGTTGTTTTTTTCTAGCTCTAAGCAGGGCCTTCATTTCAAAGCGCGATAACTCAAAAGGAATCAACAAACTCAGTCTGCTGAACTGCGAAAATTTCGGTATTAGTAACACCTGCAATCGGCTAGAGATATTAATTTGTTGCGGACCCAAGCATGTGGTATTGAACCACGCCGGGGCCACTAAATTAACCCTGGTCCGATTTCGCTACCCTGATACGCGTGATGGAGAAAAAGACCGGAGAGGACTTGGACACAACCGTTTACTTCGGAGCTCAACCACGTTGCTGTCGTTGTGACGTGTGTGGGATTTACGCGTGTGTAGTTATACCTCAGATGTGTGAGTCACACAGGTGCTAATATCGGGACCTAGGTGTGAGGATAATCCAAGATAAATATCCATGTGAATTAAGGGAGGAGTTGGGGATCCGCGCGGCTAGCGACATGCTGCGAAAAGGGGGACCCTGTGTCGGACGTCAATTTATTTTAAAAAAAGAATTCCGATACGATTATGTTACTTTATTGACTAATTGTGTGTTTGCTAAGGTTAATTTAAAACGCATGAAGTTGTAGGAGATCGGAGTTTCGACCTGGCGCAAATTATAATCTTTCAAATGGCCAAACCACCAGTTGGAAATATCAAGTCATCGACATCAGAAATGTGTAAAGTCCAAAGATGAAAGTACCAAAAGAATTTGACATTATTTTCATGCACTTTTAATCAGTTACCTAACAAATTCTCACAAAGACCTGTGTCCGCCTTTTGCACAGCCTGACATGCTAACGCCAAATCGAAAACTTGTCTTTCCACTAACACTAGGTAGTCTCGTTGTGGTTTGCAACATCCCAGACACGACATATTGACTACTGGGTTGTGTAGGTAAATCAGGCAAAACCACTTCTTTCAGCTGGAACTGCGCTCAAATTTGGTGATGCTGTGAGGGACGCGGGGAATCCAATCTTCATTAAGTTAACCTACCTCCACGACCACCAGAACACAAACCGAGAGGAAATCGCTCTGGGTCTTCAAATCTCATGGACGTCGTCGCCTTGCACGCTGCTCTATGTAGATACAAAGCATGGCAATGTGGATTTTTTGCATATTTATTTGGTAATTAACATTCTTAATACAAGATTTATCACATTCCTGAATCGAACATACGACAGGTCATGCGTTTATCAAAATACTCATTACGTCTATTGAATCAAATTAAGTAGTGTTAATTTTATTAAGCGTTTGATCTGTTACCAGGACGCAGGGATAGCCAATCTTGCATTCAACATGGGTGGAGGGTTAGTCCGTCTGAAGGAGACAAGGCGGCGTTTGGATGACGACAATTACCACCGCATACGTGTGTTCCGGCATGGACTGGCAACTCTCCTTGAAGTTGACGAGTTGCAAACGAAGCATATATCACCCGGTAAAAATATTCATGATGATGCTGTCCACATTATTTTACATCAAAGTATTTATGTTCTGCATGCATCTTATTATTACTAAGGCCCACTAGGCGAACAATTCAACGACCAACAGTCTATCTGGCTGGGACATGCGCCGTCTACGCAAAACTTCACCAACACCTTTCGTGGGGTGCTTTCAGGTACGTTTGCGGTGTGCTTGTCACGAGGCCGACTGTGCCGATTTATGGTTAACAGGGCCTTCGAACGCGCGTTTCAGGCGTCTTCTACAACGGGCTGCCAATCTGCGACTTGGCAGCTGGCTTATCGCACAGGGCTGACGTCCACGTCACTCGACACGCCGACATTCAGTATGTTGCCAATTTCCGAGTTAGACTGGCTCCTGACTCCGTCTTCCAGCAGTGAGTTTGCGCGCTCTTCGTTACTACCCAGCGATATTAATTGACGGCGAATGCAATTGGATAGAAGTTTAACTGATATCTGATTGGTTAGTGGCGTATGCCTGACAGCACACACACATGAACCGCTAAAGCAGTGGTCGATATTCAGTTTAAAAGTGGGTGGAAATCTGGTGAATATCCCCTGGCCCGAATGCATACTTTATCTAAATGTATTACAATTCATCTGCGTTAATGCAAGATTAACCCCAATCCAGTACTCAGAGTTCGACGTTGTACAGAAACAATTAAGCACCCTGGGTGGTAGTGGCTGTTGTCAATCACTCACACCACAGTCTCGCCTACCGACACATTTCCGCCGGGTCGTGATTTCTGCTTCTGTTGACTCTGCAACTAGTTCTCTGAGCGTGCTCATGAGAACCGGGATGTAAGTGTGCAAACATTGTACAAACAGGCGCCATTTTTAGCTCTTTCGATTGATTAAAAACTGCTCCACTTTAGGCAGGTCTCTCAACCGGCCCTTGATGGAACTGTGCCTTTATCTTATGATTGTCAATCATATATTTTTAGGGTTAAAATAAGGGATTTTGAAAATTTGGAATGATATCTGCATGTTTTTTTGGCATTAGCTGCTGGGAATAGTGACAGCTGTCTTTAATGTCTTCCGCGTGCAGTAGAAAAGCCAGTTGCAGAAGGGTTTATAGAAGTGATGGGTCGTAAGTCTTTGCATAAATTGGTTCCAGAGGAATGCCAACACAAATGTCAAGCAGTAGGGAGATGACATAGGCCATTCCCTGTGCACCATGGTAATTTAGAGTAGCATGAATGCAAGAAAAAAAGGCATAATTCTCGATGAGATTGTCCGAAACTCAACGAGCAGTCTAGCGACAGTGGTTTCGCTCGAGTATAGTGGTCATTTAAAAGCCAATCTGTGCCGTCTGCTTTTCTTTTAAGGAAGCAGACAGCGGAAAGTGCAGTGTTTAAGGTTGGAGAGGCATGGAGATAACTGCGAGCCGTGGAGTGAAATAGGGAGGTGCGCCACCCGCATACAGTTAAACGGACCTGAGCCGGCATTTCGCCAGTACAACCAGCACTGGTTCCTTTGAACCTGTCAGTTTTTTGGAGCCAACTATCTCAAGCAAAGGGCGATGTCAGTTGTTACCTCAAAAATATTTCGCAAATGCTTGAAAGTGTGCTTTCAAGCAATCTTTTTCCACGCAGTGCCGGGCCACCTTTCGGGCGTCTTGTTAAGAATAATCTCGAAGGGCTAGCTTTTCTGTGCCCCACAAAGTAATCCAATGGCAAGGTACTCCTACTCTGTGTGTAGACGTTTCTTGAAAAGCATCACGAACGATGGAAATTCAGGGACTCGAATTGGTGGCTTGCGCATTGTAGCAAACATTGTTTTGAGGCCCAACTGGTCACCCCCAAGTAACTGTTGGTCTCATAAATTTCTGTTATAGAATACTAGATGATTTCCCAAACTTGGAGAGTACTTCTTTCCACGACGACGAATCAGCAATGCACGAGTCACCATCGGGTCCCCCTGGAACACCCACTGCAGATGTTGCTGCCGCCACGGTTACATCTCCTACACCCCACGGGGAATGGATCCAATTTCCACCAAGAACTCGTCAGCTGACAGACACTACACCATCGCCCCTCCAAAGCCACGTAAACATCTGGCTCCTGGTTTGCCTCGGTGGAGCGGGACTAGTGTTTTTGGTTTCGATGCTATTCCTCGTTTTCCACTGTCTACAGCGGAAGCGAAATGAGGAGGGAGGAAGGCAACACAGAGAGGCTCATTTTGTGGCTGCGGAACAGTTAGATTACCCCCGGGAGGCAGTCTGCAAGTGAGAGCACAGGAAACCACCACACCTTCAGCCACGTCGCGTTCCCAGAGCCCTTACTGCAGGTTACGGAAGGTACATTGTAAATATGCATGTAGAAAACAGTTTTATTACTCAGCTCTCCCTTTAGCTGAGAAAGAGATCATTCCGCCTGTAAAAAAAACTTTCTTGTCCGGACTATTTCAAACAAGCCCCCCAATCCCCATTTGAATATACAGTTTGTTGAATGAATGCAAAAAATAAGCCATAAATAGGTGTTATACCGGGGACTGGATACAGGTGAAAATATGAGAGAAATTATGTGTTGTTACGGAGGGGTTGAAAAAAATACAGAGGACGCCAACTTAGGAAGCGGTGAAGAGTAAAAAACAGACGAAGTAAGTTGCGGAGACGGCTTAGCAAAAGAGGTATGCAGGGAAAAGGTGTTGGTAGGTGGTAATTGGATCATCGGAGGCTTCCAAGGGGACGGAAGCAGCAAGTGCTTATGAGTAGGCTGTTGGGGGGAGAAACACAAAGAGAGGTAGAGAACGGGGAAATTTGGATTCACAATTCAGTGCCACGCCATTGATTTTACGAGATTTTGCTGGCGACCTTTCCACTGAAAATTATCAATGTGTAAGAAAACAGTCGGAATCTGGGGGGTGGGGTTTAGGAAGCAGATCAGCAGGAATGCAAGTGGATGCGACATGGTTGGTTATTCCACTAAGGAGTCTGCATATTCCTTTAGTGAATTTTTAGTAAGTGCGACATACGCCCTGTTACGTTTGCCCGTAACAATAGAGAATACCACTCAAATAACGGTACCGGATCCCTTCCTGACGCTAGAACCGACCTTCCCACGCTAATACACGAACAAGACAAGAACTCGTGTAGAGAGCTTTGATCACGTCAGCCACGTGCGGAGTCGGTTGACGTGAATAAAGCTCTCTACTCGAGCTCTGGTCTTGTTCTTGTATTAGCGTGGGAAGGTCGGTTCTAGCTTTCAGCAAGGGATCTGGTACCGTTATTCGAGTGGTTTTCTCTATTGTTACGGGCAAACGTAACATCACGTCAATCACCTGCAGAGTGGAGTGTCGAAAGTGAAACTAATTCCAAGTCATGGTTGACCTTGACTTGATAAAAAGCGTAATAAAACACATGCTGGTGAATTAGTGTAAAAAGCGCCAGAAACCAACGACGAGCAACCTTGGGGAATCGTGGATACCCAACACGCCCATAACCCCAGGTCATTTAATGAGCTACAAACCAACAGGAATGCGTAATTTGATGCATTTTTGTGGCCCTCCTTTTATCAACGCCACAAAAAAACACGATGGCCACCTCCGAACCTCAATACAAAGGACGTGCAGCAATCGCACGTAATAGCCAATCAGAGGCCAACAGCTAACGCCCACGAGAATCGCCCGCTCACACATGGACCATGGTGCAGACGGGTGGCAAATTTGCCCTTTATCAGACTTCTTGTTGGCACCTAGCAACGATGACAACATTGTCTCCACCAGTGCAAAGCCTACAACCCTCAGGACCCGCACTGGAAGAGCTACCTCAGAAGCGAAGCTCGACAAGTTCCACTTTCTGCATACACGTCACCACCTCCCATCAAAACGTTAATAAGAGTGCCATTTTTAGACACTTGTCGTGCTCGGGCACAGGACTGCTGGGACGAGCATCTAGTAGAGACCTATGTGATCCCCCCTACCCCACCACTTGCCTACCCATTAACGCAAAAAATACCCACCACCAAAGCGCAACGCATAGAAAAAAACACGCAGATCACCTATTTTTTTACATCACGGAAGTGTGAGGTGATAGCGACGGTATGGGGAACAGAAACAAGTGAAACCAGGGCCGAGAAATTTCGTAAAAGAGGTGAGGAAAGAGTTGCGCATTGGAGTGGATTTAAGAGCAAGAACTCGCCGAGTTTGCGCAGGACCCGGACGGGTAGGGGGGCAAGGGGTTATGGTACAATAATGAATGGGAAGTGTGAGGCGGGCGCCGTCCGTGCTGGGGGAGAAGAGGGAAAGGAGGATGGGTTTCGATGGTATGTGAAATGACGCTTGACGGGGACGAAATTCGTAATCTGAGGAGGAGAAATTTTAAAGTTTATTGGAAACTATTCAGTCTACAAAAATCAGCCGTATCGTAGACTAATCTCATCGTTGACAGAATACAAAAAAAGAACTCAAATACTCGAAAGCGGTTAGTTGCATTTCAGAAAAATCTAGCCTACACAAAGCGCTAATTCGGTGAAACAAGACAATAAGATATTCAAGTAAAACAAAGGTTTAAAATTGCATTAAAGATGAAATGAACAACAATGAAGGGTGCATCATTCGCATCCTATGGAACGTTGTAGAACAGAAAATTTGACGCTCATTGGCTAGAAACGAGTAGCATGTCCAGTGGATCGGTCGTTTATTATGAGCTCTGGAATTGAGTTATCATGAGATCATTATGCAGAATTTGAACAACGGACGCATTGTGGCAATATTTAGGCAGAAAATTGACACGCTAGAGTATAGGGAGGCATTCATCGAACGCCGATACGAAAGTATGAGACTTACCTCAGACTACATGGTGGAACGAGCGAAGCCAGCTTGGCGGCCAGAGTTTACGCCAAGGTATTGGTACTTTGACTTTTTCTCTGAAGGCTTCAGAATCTAAAAGGAATTCGCAAGCAGGTACAGCACAAGGTTGAGATACAGATTGTGGAGTGTTAATAACACGCATACCTGACCGCCAAACACTAGCGAATTTGAAAACTAGAGGATACGAATAATCAAAGTGACTAATGAGGCAGTCCCGTCTGTTTAGGCTTTTTGCCATTTGGAATTGATTTTGCTTATGCCCTCAGTAAAATGTTTAGCACCAAGGAGGCAGCGCAATAATGACTGAAACAACCACACTCATCGGTTTTTTTTTCAGCGAAACAATTAAGAGCAGTTGGGGTACACGCTCAAGTCCAACAAGTACTCCTCTGGTTCACTCCGTAGCAAATCGATGATAAAAAATACTCAAATAGGAAAGCAAATTAAGGAATAAGTCATTGGAACGCAGGCGGTAGACGGCTGTCGGTCTCCCAGACACAACACAAGACTATATAAACCTAAATGACTTAGCAGACTTCAAGGGAAAAACGGCAAGTCTACCCCTGAATAAGCTTTGGTGATGTGTGTTCCACTACTAGAAGTAGTGGCCAGTGTAAGATAAACGCAGTTCATTGGTGAATCACCTGGAAGGAGCACATGAGGGTCTCGTCAACGGACATCATACCACCGGCGTTGTCGAACTCTCCGCAGTAATTGGGCGCCGAGAAAAGGGTAACGAGACGGCGCTGGGCAAAGAACTCGTACCCATCCTCCACGACCTGGTGAGCGCGGCAGATGAGGTCGAGGTCGTGCCTGTGAAGGAACTTCTCCACCACGTCCCCGCCGAACACGAAGCTGACGCCTCTGTCATTCTCGCCCCAGCCCTTCGTGTCCTTGTCTGGATCTGCCCACAGAATGTCGCACAACAGTCCTACAGAAGGGAAAGAATAATGGGCGCATAAGCGGTGTGCCGCATTTCGTCCTCAGACTTCACTCGAGGGATCATGTGGATTTTTAGTAAAACAGCAATATTTGTTTTACACTTAAACCGACTCTTTTTTATCAATAACTACCGCGTAAACGTCTTAATTGTGTCAGTAAACAATAATTCGCAACGTCTGTCAACTTGGGGCTTCTTTAAATCTGCCGTACTAGGACACTTACTGCTCCTTTTTGTAATTATTGTGCTTTTGCCCCGGACGTGTTAAGAATACGCCGAAAAATGCGTTCAAGTCAAGGGGTGTCTTACGCACTTTAAACCGGATCGTATTACATCTAAGAAAACACGCACGCGGACACACACACACAATGGCATTCGCAGCGAAAGCAGGAGGAACATTACACAATGCATGACATTTGCTTGAAGCCCGAATTGCTCACAGTTATTGCGAAATCACGACTCGGCCAACGCATGGCCAAATGCGCTCAATTATGGCAGAACTACTACCGACGAAAAGTGAAATGTAGCAAAAACGACAGGCGTTGGAGTTCAGGTCAAACCCAGAACCAAAGTAAGGTACTGATTCAGACGCTTATTACTGGATTACTCAGATTCTGAATAAAATCCATATCAAAAATAGTCAGTTTACTTGTTGAGCCAATGTAATCACTTTGTAATAAGTAATATAGCACGTCTAATGAGAAGAGTCGGATGCCAGCGGCCACTTAACCCCAACCCCAAGGAATCATGCACAAGAGCCAATTTTGGCAAATTAACCACAAACTAAAAATGAACAAAACGTATTTTTGGTAGTTAGTCGCACAAATGCTATCTACAGGGGAAATCAATGTACTGATGGCAGACACGTGGACAAGTGAACAGAACAAAAGCACGCAGCAGAAACAGTTTCCTCGGATCAGAAGAAAAAAATCAATACAGACGACAATGCCACCTTCTCTTCTCCATTTCCGCGAGATTAATCAATTGTCCGTAATGCAATGAATGTCTGAATGGCTTGAAACGGCACAAACGGTTGTGGTACTTGGACTCTTGAAGGTCACAGCACAATACTCACTCGAAAATCACCATTTGTAAACAAAAGAAAGCATTCTAAACTCGGTTTCGGCTCCCAAAAGATTAAGAACCTACGACGGATTGGGGGCGGCCAATGGTACAATGAGCTTTTTGGTCGCACAACGGCAGTTACAGAGCACAAAATAGGTTAGCTTCAACCCAAAAACACCCCGGGGAACATAATGTGCACGAAATTTTATAATTAGAACTGACTGATGGTGTACAAAGTGAGAAGGATGCCATTGAAATGAGCAGTGAATATGTCAACAAACTGGCGAATACGTCCAACATGCAACTGGGTAATGTCTGGCACATTGATTAAAGGCAAATGAGGCTGGCCATCACGTAAAAATTGGTAGGGGATAATATCGTTGTGAGGAAGCAGACCATACATGTCATAGAAACCAATGGTTGAGAATAAAGCATCATCAAACTGGCTAACCACGTAAAGTAAGTGATGCGGTCCTATGACTTGAATAAAAATTGCGCAAATAGTACCACGTTGTAAGCATACAGTAGATGATTAGAATTTCTTGATGGACGAAGATGCCAGATGTCAAAACTAATTATGAATAGGACAATGAAATCAGACGACGCTAAAGCCACAAACAAACCACCGGACTACAAATGTTGCGTACACGATAACCGCTCTTTTCACATTGGCATGGCCAATACAAAATGCCACAGACAGGGATGACAAAAAGCGTACCTAGCACATTAGTATTTTTAGATAAACGAGCAGAGGACTAGTTTTCTTACTGTCATTACGTACTAGCCAAGATAACTAAAATGACACCAAAGCCAGCCACAGAGACAGTTTAAAAGTCACAGAAACCAGAAATGAAGTAGACGGGATGCTTGTAAGTGCAAGAGTACCCAGGCTGGCGGCATTGGCGCAAGCAACGTGTGGGAAGAGTTTACATTTGGAAGTGTAAACGAGAGCCAAGCGCCCATGCCCCGTCATTTTTAAGCGAATTAAGATGGTAAACACACCTCACTTAGATTCTAAAGAAAGTTCAACTTGTGCGCGATTTACCCAACAAGTCGGGTGATTCCAAGATTGAAATGGAGGCAAGCAATCGGAGGAAAGTTACAAAATAACATGAAACAATCAGGCAAGCAAGTGCCATGAAATGGTGAGGGGACAGCTAACCCCCTAACTAGCGGACCTGCTAAAGTCGACAATGTCACATGTGGGTGATCAGTTATCAATGCATAGTTAGAGAGAACCGTACTTCCAATTTACTCAAAGCACATGAGGCAATTAGATGTTTTCAACAATTAGTAACATTCCAGTGTACACATTGGAAACTAAGGTGAGGGGACATCCTGTTAAGCGACTCATCGATAAAGGGCCGACCAGACCTAACATTGACGTAATTTTTACGGAATTGTCTTAAGGGTGTCATGGAGTGATCTGAGCAGGACAAAGGGCAAAAGACTGGATTAAATGGCCATCGGATCTCGCTCAGGCCAGTCTCCTAGTTAGTGTAGGCGATTGAGTAATATGTTAGCCACGGGTGAGACTTGCTTGGGTTGCGACTTCTTTGTGTTCACTAATTACAGAAAGAAACAAGCAGAAGGACCTTATGCCTACACAAGTATCGCTGAGGAAATGAATCGCGAAAGGGCCCAGAGTAAATACATTTAAGGATTGGAATGAAGAGCACTATCACTACCACACCAAGCAAAATTGCGGAAAGGACTGGGGTTGGGCTGGTGTTTCTGGGTACGACTTTACGCTAACAGCTAAGCTCAGCTACCAGGGTGTCCAAAAGAACGCCCGTAGAACACAAAGTTGGGTTTATTTTACATGATTTTCGCACAATATGGGCATTTAAAGCTTGAAAGAAGGGCAAGATAATGTCTAAAACTAGTAAATTTTCTCTCCACTAGCTAGGCTTCACCATACTCACTGCCTAGTGCTAGAACAAAAAACCAGTTCAAATGTGGTTTACTTCACTCGCTCAATGATAACAGAGTATACAGTGGACAAATATTTTGCGAAACTATGAGATATAACACAATAATTTACTAAGAACTGGCTTGTGAAAACTTATGGAAACAGTTTAGCACAACACAAATTACGTTTTAAAAAAAATTGCAAAAACTTTGATTAACATATCAAAAAAAATTTTGCTACCAAGTTCATTCGGGCATGCAAAAGAACTATTTGCGGTGACCAACGACACGACATCCTAATCAAAATTTACAAAAGTATAGCAGGGATTCAAGGGCAACAGACGAACCAGTGTCGGGAACATCAGTGGGGCGAAGAACTCGACGGATTTGCTCCATTGTCTGAAGATCCGGAGACAGTCCTGTAAAAAAAGTCAGCGTGCAAAATTGGTAAAACATATTCCACCTTATAGTTTGTAAGTCTGATTAACAGGTTGGAAAACCGGTGGGTGATTATGAAACAGAAAACTCTGATGATTACCATGTAGTAAGTAAGTACATTCTTCGTCCTTACAACGAATTCAAAAGAAGACAGCATTTGACATTGTATGCAACAATATTCTTACTGAAGACAGAGAAGCACACCGCTTCCGGCTAAACAGATAATCACCTTACCTCCGTGGCAACAGAAGATCTTTTCGTCGACTATGGCTGCCACGGGAAGACAATTGAAGCAATCTGTGAATGTTTTCCACAATTTTATGTTGTACCTTCGTTTACCTAAAGAAACAAGAAAACAAATGCATTGAGGCTGTAAATCGGCGAAGCAGGGCGTCATCGCGCGTTTGGCAATTAAAAAATGGATGAACTCCCAAATTAAAATTTCCGTAGGCATGTGTTATGAAAAAGAAATGTCATCAGTAAACGGTCTTTGTGTCTAAAATAAGTGGATGCATTTAATCTTGAAACACGTCAAATTTGGTAAATTATGGGACATTCCCACAAGCAACTGTTTTTCAGCACCACGACAAACATCTTAAGCTTAGCAGCGAATGATATTGTGAAAATTAAGCCTCGAAAAAAGGTGTTAACAAGAGAAGTTAACACCTAAAATCAGATGTAAATAAAAGGTGACATATTGAAAGTCACATGAAAACTTACATTCGTCATAAAATCCGTAAATTCGGTTAATTGATGCGCATTCGTGATTACCGCGAAGAAGGAAGAAGTTTTCGGGGTACTTGATCTTGTATGCCAAGAGAAGGCAAATTGTTTCTAGGCTTTGCTTCCCTCTGTCCACATAGTCACCGAGGAAGAGGTAATTGGCTTCTGGTGGAAAACCACCGTACTCGAAAAGCCTCATCAAGTCTGTGTATTGACCATGGATGTCACCTACAAAATGGAGGAGGTAAAGAAGAACACGAGACAGATAAAAGGAAAGTGATTCTGAGACTGGATATTGCCATGAAGTAGATAAGATTAGGCATAAGGCGTTACACCAACTACAACATTTGCACCCAAGGCTTCAGAAAATAGTTATGCCACGTCGTGCACAAACTCACTTCTCAACAAAAAGCCACTTGATGAGTATGGAAAGAAGTTCGGAAAGAAACCTGGCTTAAATCTTTTCACGGAAATATGATAAGCAGTTAGTGCGAAAAAAAGGTCCAAGTGACAAATACTCCTATATTCAAAAGGATTATATTTTGCAAAAGTGAAAACGATGTTAGGGGTCCCAAATGATTCCAGTTTCTATCATAAAACAGTTAAGTTTTAACCCACGGTCCTACCTTTAAAAAAATCACACACGCCTTCTACACAAAAGCCAGTAAATCCATACTTTATCACAGGTGCAAACATACCACATATTTTAAGAGGAGCTTCCAGCTCTAATAAAATAGGCTGTGAAAGGAAAATCTCCCTTGATTTAGCACAAAGTGCTTTGATATCTTCCTCCTTAAGATTGACCGTAGTGCCAACACGAGAACCACGCACTAAATAAACAACCGATAAAATTTTAAATAAAATGCACCCTCCAGTAAGGCCGAAATTATCTCGTCGACATTCAAATCTGATTCACTAGCCATTTCCCAAACTACCGTCGAACTATTGTAAATAGCGCCTCATTTGAGTACAAATGTATTACTCAAACAAATTCAGCATTTGAGAAGTCTTCTGCGAAACAGAAGAACAGAATAATGTGTTTTATTTTTTTCGTATATTTTAAATAATGTGTACTTTTTTTTGCAAATTTCGACAGCAAAAAACTTAAAATATTATTTTCAGTTTAGGCATAAAAACCCGACCGATATCGCGCCTGGGCTGATTTATATGTTTTTTTTGTTATTAAAAGTAAATTTTATTAAATTTGCTGCTTGTTAATGCATTATTGATCTTGTTCTTGTGGTAGATCTTGGATAGACTGATAATATCCGTAAATCCGATCATGTAATATTGAAATTAATACGAATATTTGGCAATTCGAGTATTTTTATAATTCAAAACAACATTATAATCATAATTTGCTTATCTCAGCTTAACTTACAAGGTTTTTGGTACGTTATAGTTATGTGGTTTCAAATTTTTCGTGCATGCTTCCAGACGTAACGGGGATTCTTTTTCATAAATGAACTTCATCTCATAGAATGTGCCATATTGTTATAAAAATAATTTGGAGTTAGTTACCATCCATTTTGAATATCTTGACATTTTGCTAAGTTTTGCCTACATGCTAATTGAAATGCGGAGTTGTTACCGATTTTTGTGTAGAATACACAAAGCATAAAGGTTAAAATTCAGTCGCATGGCATAAGGATGCTAATATCGAGTGCCAAATTTATTCCAAGGTACCGAATACAGCGAAAAGACCCATGATCACGGTGTAATGGATGGAGGAGCGTTTAAGGCAAAATTTAGTGTTTAGAGCGTTAGCCACAGGGGCGTAGCCCGTGATTTGTTTCTACAATCCGACCAATAAACTTATTAGCGTGACTTCTGTCTAAGCAATGTTAAAAAAAGATAAACGGATCATAGTTGGAAGCAAAGTGCAGCCAATTTATTTGAGACTTATCAATAATTCCATTTAACTTACCGATATTGTTTGTCTGCTATGAACAGTTTTAAATTTATTTTTTTTATTTCTTCTTAAATTTTAGGTGTTAGTTTGGCAGCAATAATTTGCCGTATTGAGACAAGTAGCAGTGAATAAAAGTTCAATATTTTGAAAAGTGCCTACGATTTTCTTCTTATCATGCGTTAACCCAGTAAAGCTCTTCGTAACTTTTTTGTAGACTGTTTAATGAGGTACATAATTTTGTCTCAAGTAATTACAGATAAAATCGGGGTGCAGAATTCTCATTCAAGTATAGATAAATGGGTCTGGAAAATGTTTTTGGTTGCTTCAGTTGGCTGTCTACATTAAGTAGCTTTTTTTGAATAGAAAAACTATAAACTTAAAATAACTATAAAAGTTTTTTGTTATTTCAAAGATTATTGTTTGCGCCATTAAAGGCATCATTTACTGAAACATATTTATTGCAGTACGCTTCAACATTGCTTTATTCAGAATTTCCGTCTTCCTTTGACTCACCTTAATTATACCTGCGCAATCCAAATACCGGCAGTATATTGCGTTTAAGGTTTTAGATAAGCCACTACATTAAGGAATTTTAACAGTAATAAAATAAAGAAGTAAAGCACAACATAAAATTTGGATACACTTGTCACCTGTTGGGCAGACATTGGTTTCTCTGAGACCTCATTGACTTGATCCTTTCTAATGAGTGATGTTTTAAGGCAAGTATTTTGAAATCTAACTAGTAAGCTGAAGATATGCGATTTATCACCAATTCACGGAACACGTTATGAAACAGCTCAAATAGTTAAAGGAATTAACGCATTCACAAATTGTGTGGTTTCAAATTCTTTCCATATTAGGTAAAAATCTCGCAGAGCGTTGGGCACCGCTGCGACAAAATCTGGAAAATTAAAAAGAAAACCGTCAATTCTTAATCATTTTCACTATATTTACGCCCACCACGCTGTAAATTTATTGAGAGAAGACTCCACTTGGTCGTTTATTGCGCCATAGTAGCCCCATTAGTTTGGAGTATTCTTAAAATATTTTATCAATTCATTCATTTCAAATCTTTTCTTTTCTGTAACCATATTTCACCACGCCCAAATTTCTGGAAGTCTGAGCATGTCTACTTAAAAACTCTGCGTGCTGCATCCTGAGCAATTTGTGTGTCAAAAATCCTTAGCAGTAGTTTTGCTAGTCAGCTTTTACTCTAAGTGTCTCTTCCAACCTGCACTCGACCAGTGACTTTCGCCCACTTCGGTTTTATTTTTTCGAAAATAACTCCTTATTAGCTAGTATCTGTTCATATGGTGCTTTATTTCACATACCTCATGCAGCGTACTGACATTTACTCTACATTCACTAACCTTTAGACCACATATGTGATACCTGTATATTATTTTTAATGAATCTCGACGCACGTCCAATCGTGAGCCAGACACTTAATCAAACTAGTTAGTAATTTACTTGGCATAATTATAGTCCGTATCATAGACCTAAGTCAAGTCACGGCTTCAGAAACACCACATTTATTTAAGCGGTCATGTGTTCCAATAGAGCGAATGTCGATAGTGACTCAATAACATTTCAATAGGATGGATTCGTTAGTCGGTAAAATTTGATTCACAACAGTAGAATTTCGTTGAATGCTCAAAGACAAATTTCATTCCCGTACAAATATAGTCTGTATATTCCTGGGAAGTAAGAAAATTTTGATGGGTACTTCAATTACAGGCACGAAAGGCCAAACAACCTGTAGTTTTCGCTACTTGTGGATGTGTGATACGCAGCATTTCGCCAAACACACGCCCCCTTTGTCCCCTTGCGTTCCTCCGTGACCTATCCCCTCCTGCCGCTAGTGATGCGTCTGCCTGCGCAACCGCCACACACCATACACCACATGTCCTCGCAGCTGATCCGCCTCCCTAACCTGCACGAACTTTACTCCATCCATAGCACCGTCTTCATGCATCTTTGTGGTGTATTCAATAGTTTGGAGTAAGCCAAGCACACAATATGTCCGTAAGCAAATCTGAATGGATATCCCTGCTGAACAGTCAGGTAGTAAGTACTCCTTCTAGACGCCAGGTCGGCATGCACGTTAAAAGTGCCTTTTCTTACCTCCACTGCGGAACGCATCGACATGTAAGGAAAAGCTGTACGCGTGAAGAACACATATCGGATTAGTGATACTTGAAGTCTATCATCAACAGCTAAATACCTGCAGCACTTACTGAGGATTTACGGGGACCGAGTTTTCACACAAGACTCGTAGTTGCCAAATTCGCTTGCTTTAAGGCCCACGAAAAATAGTTCGGTCTCACGTTTTGGTGCATGCTTTCACTTCGCCTTCTACCTGAGAAAATCACGCTATCGCAGTTTTGCCGTTCAAACAGAGCCACAACCCTACACAATTTTTGCTTCACCTTTCTCCAAAACCATCCAAGTTTAACATAAGCGGACAGGTAGCCAACAAAGGTATTTGCATTTTTTTGATAAAATTCCACGGCTACTTTGACGTAATGTTGGTCTATTTTCGTGGTAAATATACAACCCGGCATTATTCCCTATAAGCCACACCCTGAACGCGGAAACCATGAAGGCGACAAGTAGGTTGTTCACGTCAGTTCTGATTCACCCGCACGGCTTTACCAGACCACAGCACGCACGCACCCACACCCCATCGATTATTGGCTTTCCAGGAGAGCTCATGCCACACCACCAATGCACCGCCCAGAGTAAATTTGCACTCACACACCTTGTCCTAGGGCCAAGCGTTTCCACCTAGCGGGTTAAATAACCAAGATGTCGATGATTTCTGAATTCCAAAAGTCGATGACTGTTTGCCTTCTGCTTACCCTGCGAGTACAACGAAAAGTGTCGATTAATGCTCGGTTTTACAATTTAACATAAAAGCCGTTGCACACCCAACACCCGGGATTGCCAAATGCTTCAAAATTAATTCAGTCATTTCCACGAATACGCACAAACAATAGCATATCTTGCAGGCGATTTTGAAATCGCCATTTTTGCCAATTGTTGTAAACTAATTCGAAAGGGTACAATTCACGGATTTTTTGCCAGTAACAACTGACTGAAGGCGCTGGCATGTTTTAAACCACAAGTTCCCTTTGTGGAAATGTAACAATCAAAGACTATGAGCAACAATACTAACTCTTCACAAATAAGTACATCTATTTATATATATACGAATATATATATGTGTGTGTGTGGATATATAAGGAACGGGGAGAGCTCAGAGCTGAATAATAGGGTAAAAGCGGGTGTCTTAAAAAATGTAGCAATATCACAATACAATCAGTGTCAAAATTTCAGTGGCTTCTCTGCATTTTGGCTAATCACGAAGTTGCTGATTCTTTCGAGGAAGTGGGGATACTCCCTGCGGGCCATGGTTCGAACGACAGCCGCTGGGGCCCACCCACCCGGGTTGATTTGCGACGCGTAGAGCAGGCGACAGCGCACCTCGTCCCTGGAGACCTTCGTGGACTTGATCTCGTCCCACTCCTCGGCACTGAGGTTGGTCGTGTCGAGGTCGGAGGGCGGTCGCCAGAGCGTCTGGCAGAACATCTCCACGTCGACTTCGATGCGTATGAAGGACGGCGTCTTGGCTCCGGGTGGCAGACGGTCCTCGCCGTACTTCGTGGAGAAATTCACCACCATCCAGGTGTCCAGAACCACCAGACCCTCTGAGTTGACGTCTTCGCTTGGAAACTGACTCGAGTCCAGACGGCGCATGTGCGACCAGAACAGGGAATCACGCTGGGTCGCGGGCCACACGCGTTTGTAAACCTAACATGGACAAATGCCACAATCAAAATGAACGAACGAGGAAACAAACTCCTAGCAGGCAACATAGTAAAATTTCGGCATACTCATTACAAAAGACAATTCGGATGCTGCTGCGTGACCAAGGTCTTTTCCACACTAAAACGAAGGATGGAGAGTGATCAAACAAGTCGAATTCCAGCATCACGTGTGCACTTATCACACACCCCAAGACCAGGTTAGACAGAAGCTGAGCACATATCCATCGCTTAAAAACTACGAAACTGACTTCAAAGACTGCGCACAAATAAATGCTTAGACTTGGGGTGAAGATTTTTGCAGGCAGTGTCGAACCAGCATACGCACAGGTGCAAAGACAGTGAAGCAACTAACCAGCATGAACGCGTTCTGTGAAGCAGGGTTATGTCGGAATCTGTAGCGATCAGAAGATACTAAATGATTTAAAGTAGAATGACGCCAATAAATCGTGTTTCATGCCAAGTAAGCAGCGTATAATAGGGGCAGTAAGAAGCTGGTGTTGGCGACAAACAAGAGGGCGTTACAGAACCAATCAACCAACTAAAGCAGGCCTCAGAATTCAGCTTGGCGCGCCAAAACAAACCCGACGATGCACGAAACTTGGCTCGCTTGAAAACCGACACGTGCAGACCAGAGGCGGCACAGGTCTAGACTGCAAACAGTTGAAAGACCAAAGTCCACTCGCCAAAGCGTGTGCCAACGCTGAGTACGAGAGGCTTATTGGCGCACGTGGTCAGCAAATAAACACTTGCGACTGACGACCCGTCACAATTCGACTCTACTTGAGTGGGATTTCACAGCTTGATAACCCATAGAAGGTGAGCTCCTGTAACGTTAGAGCAATGACACACACACACACACGCCCACTAGCGACAAACTGGTGGCAAAGATGTTAGAAACAAATGAGGAATTAAGCGATTCAACAAACGTGGGTACAATCCACAGTTCAGATTATAATAGCTACAATTGAATATGATGGACACGGGTAAAGGCTGTACTGTCAAAATTGAAATACTAGACTACCATAAACCATGGTGATAATTCACTCGACAACCAGTCTTGATGGGAATTTCTCACAGACGCTACCTGAGACCTGAACTAACCATCATAAACCAGAATTAAGCGCTCATGAGTGAAGGAAAAACGCTTGGCTATTTGGGATGCTATGTTACTACGAAGGAACCTCATAGCTAGCACGGGGTTACTTGAAAGGAAATAAACTAAACCACAGGACGCTTGAAAACCCCAGAACTTTAACGTCGGTTCAGTATTCGCCAGTGTCTAGACCTTCGATTATGCGTTCTAAATGCTTTCAGTATTTGTGTACGAGGGGATCTTTGCGGTTCAATTGACACGAATTCCGAAAACAGAGAAACCAGACGCACTGTTTTACAAATTACCCTGTGTCTTGTGTGGAGTTGGTAATAGAACCACGTAACAGTTGTCACGTAATTTGGGTATTACCTTTGTTTTTGTTGGGGATTCACGATTCCCCCAGATTGATTTCTGATGCTATTTGCATTAATTCACTAACATTTGTTTTGTTGCGCTTTTATCAAGTCTAGGTCAACCTTGACTTGAATTACTTTCGATTTCACTTCTTCTCTGCACGTGGTTGGCGTGAATAAAGCTCTCTACACGAGCTCTCGTCTTGTTCTTGCATTAGCCTGGGAAGGTCGGTTCTAGCTTCAGCAAGGGATCTGGTACCGTTGAGTGGTCTTCTCTTTGTTACGTGCAAACGTAACAGTATTACTAAACTGAATTCGTTGGAACACAATTCAAATCCTCCACTTGCATCATATTTCCCTATTTGTTGTATACTTTTAATGTTTAACCGCTTGTTTTCGCAAAATTTACCGTCTAAGACAAGTTGTAAACTTCCGGATTGTCCTTGGTGTTCGTAAATCCCGACAGGTCTGTCTGTTAGTGTCTAGGCCGATGTTATTTACATACCCCGCCCCATCACGTGAATGGCGATAGACTTGCCGATATAAGCCTTTAAGGCCCAAAACGGTTCGCCTTATGTTGTAGGATTTGCATTGGATACAAGAGCCCGGTTAGCAAGACCTGAGCTTCTAATCCCAACTCCACTGGCCTCAGAGTACACGGAATTCAACCCTAAAGGGTTAACCTAGTGGACAAAACGGCGAGTATGGGTGATGTGTCTACTAGCAATTCAAAACAACCCACTCAACACTCACAACAGTGGCGATAGTGTCAGGAGTATTGACGGTCACGGTGACTGTCTAAGATCAGACTTTGTTCAAGCACTTATAAGTCACGAATCACTACCCACAACCTCTGAAGCGACCGCGTACTAATTCGTGGTGTTTCTTCTAAAAAAAAGTATCCTTCAGGTAATTACGCGTGTGATCCGATGGCAGTGAGGCGTTGTGTACAATGCCCCCACACAATCCACCACGGAAAACACAATTCTGGTGCAAGAAGGCCTTTGTAGTTTGCTAGCATGCAATGAAATTCAAGGCACTTATGACGAAATGAAATTCAGCGCCAGGTAGGCAGCTCAAACGATAAGGCACGCACATAGTATGATTCACAATTTGCGCATCCTTCAACTTGGGTGCTGATTTTTGCTTCAAAACGTAAGTTTGTTACTAACACCACCGATTAAAACAACTTTTGGCGGGCGGCATAAACTGCTCGGATGACATCCTCTTCAAATCGTTTACCGCACAGTGCCAGATGCGCACGATGGAGAAATCCCTAGTGCAAGACTTGCGAGACACCTACGTTTCTTGCAGGACGTATAAGAATGCAAGGGCTAAATGACAGTAACTTGGAGAAAAGGGAGCTACTAGATTCTCGAAAAAAAAACATTCTTCCACCACCAAGCAGAAAAAAATCCAACGGAGTTAAGGGAAACCGATACAGAGGCTGGAGATAGAAAATCGATATCCACCGATCGTGTCTCAAAACTGATAGGCAAGGAACCGAAAAAAAACACTGAGCGCACACGCATTAGAATGCTGGCGAACTGCAGACATTCGACTAACCTGATATTGAAGGACGGTGTCGTCGCCGCACACCTCGATAACGGTAGGCGCCTGGTCGACCGTGATCTCCCAATCCAGGCGGTACTGCACGTCCCAGAAGGCGTCGCACATTTCGCGCGCGGTTATGTTGTTTACCGAATGCACAGCCTATTAAAGGAAAAAAAGAACGTTTTTGAGACAGCTTTGGAGGGTGGCGGGTGCGAAGCAATAAATAGTAATTAGTACAACTTATTTATTACATTTAGGTTAATTAATTTGATGGGTGGTTTTGAAGACGTTGAGCACTCCAGGGCAGCTCTACTCTCAACAACCGATTGGGTTCCCTTGGTATTTAGTATCGGAGTTTGCGACACGTCTTAATCATTACCCAGTATGCTCAATTCCGCGATTATAACGTCAGAACATTGCCTCAGTTTACCTACTAACATAAATTTTGAACATTTAACTGTACATCAAGTCATTTTCACTGTCACATTCGAAGAAGAGGGGCTGAGGAAAAAGAAGGTGGAGGTCAAGGAGAATATCCGGACACAGGAGATGACGTACCTGTAGTGGATCCAAGTATGAGCCGTCTGCAGACTCAACTTCCCGGTTGTAAATTGTCATTTCGCCCTGTTTGGCAAGGATGGTCCAGCCATTGTTGACGCTACCGACGTCACCGTTAGAGCAAGGAAAGCCGCCACGGAGGATGCCCATGCGATCCTCGCAAATTTTCGCCACCTCCGGGTACAGAGGGTGGGTGGGGGGCATGGCGTCGGCAGAGCGAAGCTTATCCCCCACTGACTTGAGCGCCATCAAGCAGGCTTCGTCTTCTATAGGCGGGGGAGAGAACAAGCAGTAGTGACACGGGTTAAGGGGAAAAATCAAGTGGTTGTCAATACCTGTCGCACACAGAGCCATTACTCTAATTATGTGATTGGCCTGACAATAATTTGAAAATCTGAGGCAAAGGCAACTACAAAGTACTCTGGTTTAAGCACAAAAAGGTGAATGGTGGGTGTAGCTAGCGAGTCACATCACGCATTGAGAGCATGAGTGGTGACAGCAATGCCCTTTCAATCACGGAACTAAGCAACCCTAATTAGGATTTGAAGGGCGAATTGGTGAGACCCTACCGATTCCTAAAATGACGCAAACTGGTGGTGGAAATCGACTCCGGGTATGTGAAATTATACACAAAATTAACAAATCCGCTAAGTGAGGTTTGAGGAAATTAACTGAATAGTCAAAAAAGGATATTGGGGACCGCTGTTTCCGAAAAAGTAGAAAAAGTAACGCTTTTCCCCATTTTCCGAAACGCGTATAGCAAATGAGCACGACGTGCGAGAATGAGAGACTGCAACGCAAGATGCTTAACATCGTTAACTCCGAATCCAGATGCTACAAACTGCGGTTCAACAAAGCATTCTGAGGAGCATTCTCGATGAGAATCGAGAATTTTATTCAACCTTTTCAAGGTGGGTACTTGGCTTTGAGAGAAATGGAATTTTGATTCAGTGGGTTCTAGCTATTCTGCATGACTTTATTTGAACGCCATAAGGTGCCTAGGCTGGACCAGAGAAACTCACGATGCATCTTATCGATCTGGGCATCAATAGCATCGTAGAAGTGTTCTTCAGTGACATTGTATTCAGATCCACCCTCGGCGAAATCAGGGCCTCCCTCGTCGACAATGAACATCTTGCCGGTCAGTGCGGTGCTAGAATGTGGCAAGAGGTGGCCGAACTGCTGCTGCCCCCCGTGGCTGTGGCTCCGCTGGTGGGCCTTGCCTGGACCCATGCGCACAACGCCCGCGTTGCGGCGCGCGGTGAGATACGAATTGAGACGGGACGACACCGCGTCCTGGGCCGACTTGAGCTGACGCTCCACGGCTCGACGACGCTCAGCCTCGCGTTCCAGACGACGACGCCATGCGTCCTCGCGATGATTGACCATCTCCACGGTCTGGGTGATGGCCAGCTGCAGGGCTGACGACGTGCTCTAAGAAGTAGTAAGACAGTAATAGGATGAGAAACACAAGATTACAAACAAGCAACAGGTTTACAAAACAGGACGACCGGGTGACAGGGGTTAAAGCAATTTACCGCATAGGTGTTACAACCACTCAACAAGACTGCGAGCATGCTTGTTACGTACTTTCATCGATGGTGGCGTACTAATAAGAAAACGTCAAGGTTAAGTGGGAACAACAGCATTTATAAGTATCGATATCATTTTCACCAACACGGGCCTGTGGACAAGGTCAGGAGCAAATCGGTTCACAAATAAGAACGTTGTGTTCTTATTAATGAATTAGCATGAGCCCTTACAGTATTTAGGTAGAGGAATCTATCAAAGGTGATGCCTTGATGTGTCACTCAACTCTAGTTCAAGTCAAGACCTTTGGTATAGCACAATAACGACGGCTTACCTTGAAGAGATCCGCCTCGGTCCTGAAGTCGACGGCGAGAGTTCCGAATTGGTTCAAGAGGATGCCCAAGTCGTGCATCCTGGCAGCGTGCGTTGGCGGCTCAGTAGTGGTCTTTGTTTTGAACTAGCCAGAAGTGAAAAACAATAAACCGTTCACTTGCAACCGCGGAGCTAGCTCGACGGCTTGACTCAAGGATAGAATTTTCAGCACCTTCAAATGTCTTAGCTTTATCAGTACGATTGATTTACGCAACCTACCGAAAAATATGCTAAGCTAATAGTTGTGGCTGCAAAGGAAAGACCCCCTACCACTGCCAAACTCCTTTTTAATCAATCTCAGGGAACCGTATTTCACTCCGGGTAATTGAGCAAGCAGTAAAACACAGAAATGAGGGGGAGAGTGAAGATTGACAGCCAGAATGACAGAGGTTTCAATGGCTTTAGGGGAAAAAAGACCTTGATGGGCATCACATCCACACAGGTATAAAAAAAGCTACGTGGGCATCACATCCACCCACGCATTCACACATTAAAATTACCCCCTGTCCAATAATTACCCACAGAATCGCTCTTTAAATAAGCCTACTCGCTTCCAAGTAGGAGGTCTTAAAATAGCCGAAAGGTGGGCTTATCAATAACACATCGACGACAATGTGCATTTTGATGGACCCCTCTCAGCGTGAGGCATTTAACTAGGAGCGTAGCACTGCAGTGCTTAGGCAGAAAAGAAGGGTGATTAGGCAATCAATGGTGAGTGTGTGCTTGGGGGCGAAATTTTACATCTTGGCACCTTTTGGTTGTGCAAATATTGACTAGAAAAAAAATTGATAGCAACAAACGACGTGAAACTAAAAGGAGATAGCTAGGTTCGAATTAATGCTAAAATTCGAGAACAAAGGCGGTGAAAAAGCGAGAAAACCAGGTGGAAATAATCTTCCCAACACCCAACACCTCTGGTCTGTCAGTGTCTTGAGTGCATTGATGAGCGGGAAACAATGCAAAGTAAGATAGACCCATGAGGAACCACAGCTGGAACTTTCGTTAATCAAATGCTGCAACGACGAGAATCGAAGGTTCTTCCAAAAGCGGTGCGTGTCCCACCTTGATGGTAGGTCAAAGCACCAACAGCGCGCCATTGGCCAGACCGCTGGATATCATGACCGATTCCTAAATTTGCTACCCTGTTTCGCCTTGCTTCGCAACAGGCAAATGGATGAACAGTCGAGCTGCCCTCCAGGCCGATTACAGTATCAACCTTTCTTTGTTCTTTAATTTGACTGATAGTCGCATGTAGCTGCTACACTATCATACACAACAAGTGGCGGTAGACGCATACTTGACGCGTCCTTACCCGTGACGAGTTCGAGTCCCACATTGGGCCCTCCACAGTGGAACTGACAACATCTAGGCACCAGACTGGCCCATCGAGTTCTCGTAGGACTTGATTTTACGTGGAATAAATAGGATGTGCTAGGAATGACAAAATGGAAGTCCACAAATAAGGTCAAGCGCCAGAATGATGTGCATAGAACAGCGGTTTACGAAAAACAACACTGCATAGATTAGGAAGCTACCGAGAGAAACTATTTAACCCTAGTTACAAGATACCGCCAACCGCAAAACCAGCCTGGCAAGGAGGACTGTCAAAACATCATCGTGCAGTAAATCATTGGAATTTATGGGGAGAAAAAGCCGGATTCGGATGTCTGCAAAATTCAGCAGAATCTACGAAAACCGACGCCTCCGGGTGCTGTTTAAATTGACGCCAGTCAAGTGGAACTTACGTAGAGGTCAGACACATTTGTCAACGAATTAGACAGCGGACACGCGTGTCAGGTTGTTGGTGAACTGGGGACTCAAATAGTCGACGGAACTATGTAGAAGGACAAAATATAGCCAAGGAAGCTGCTTGGATGTTTCGTGCAAAAAATTGGATTTACGGTATTCACTGAAAAGTGGTCATTAAATGAGAATTCGATGGCTAGGAACGTCAAGCCTACTCAAAGCCATTAAACTGGAAACTCAAATGCTGGTACACCATAGCGGTAGTTCAAGAATTCATGATAAGTATGCGGGTACATGACTTTAAACAACAGATTCAAATTGGTTGATATTTCACAAACACTTAACGCGGCACATTTGAGATATAAACACAATACTTTAAAAAAAACCACTGAGCAAATTTATCATTGAAAAACGTACACACGGATGACAGTGCACCGCAGGCGGCCGCAACCGCTCTCACAGTCAAGCGGGCGCCTGTCTGACGATGCGCGTACAGGTGAGTGATGTGAACGAATGGGTGTAGAGACCGCGTGAAGTATAGCGTGATAGTAGTAAACGACGCATAACCACAGACAAATAGAGAGCGGGCACCATCAAATGAACAAGATGGAGAATACAATAGACACTGAAAGCTAAAAAAGTAATACCGTGACTACTTATCAATCAGTAGAGTCGATGAATGTATTAGCTAAATAACGCCCAAGAATGAAAATAAGTTCAAAGTCCAACCGAATCACATTGCAATAAAGAAATCCGGGTCCTAGGAAACGAGAGCTTAATCCTGAGTCGACTGTAAGTGGGTTTATAATGGGAGGATAATGAACACAGACATCAAGAATGATTGGAAGACAACTATGGCCAATGAAGCGCTGATCGGCAAAGCAAACTGGGGCTAGGCATGTCACAGGGACAATTTCCCCGAACCGACGATGGCGCGGTGAATCGATGTAACGTCCGCACGACCTGACCCAAGATCAATTCACATCCCTCCCGCCTGTGCTCTGACGCTCGTCCCTCCGCGGCCGTTGCACGCGTGAACCTGCACCGCTGTCAGCGTACCCTCCCCCCCCCCCCT